TAGGAGAAGGAGAAGGAAGAAGGAAGGAAAAAGGAAGGAGGAGGAGAAGAAGAAGAAGAAGGAGAGGAAGAAGATGAGAAGAAGGCAAATGGATTGTAGGGTGGAGAGGTAAAGTATTCAAGTAAGCATATTTAACACCCACCAAAGACAAATGTATTTATGGGGGGGGGGGCATGTGCCGCAGTGCACATGTGGAGGTAAGAAGGCAACTTGTGGAGTGGGTTTCCTCCTTATACAGTGTGTCTCCTGGGGATGGAACTCAGGTCACCAGGAGTGGCACCTTTACCTATGAACCATCTCCCTCTCACCATCTCAAACTTCCCAACAAATGATAATGTTTTGAAGAGTCATATCCACCCATCATAGAATGAGCCTCTTAACTTTCCCAACTGTCTCTTCATAAACTCCAACAGACATCACTCTCAGGATGGTCACAATGGGAATTGTGGCTCGTTTTCATAATCCCAACACGTAGGAGGCTGAGACAAGAGGAGTGCAAGTTGGAAACCAGTCTGAGCTACAGAGCAAATTCCAGGACAGCCAGGGATACACAGGGAAACTCTATCTCCAAAAAACAAACAAACAAAAAAGTTAAAATGGCAGTTTAGGACCCAGACCAAGCCATGTAAGCTGGGTGCCAGACATATAGCTCAGTGCTAGAACACTAAGTTTCCACGTATCTGAACAGCACATAGGAAAACCCTTGACACTACACATCCCCAAGGAGAGTCTAAGGAAAAGTTACCACACTGTCCAGGACCATTGGGAGAGTAGAAGATTATGCCCTCACTTTAAATTGGAGCAACAAAAGATGAGTTTCACTGTGTGTCCACAATATGAACATTAAGGAATGAGTCTGACGCAGACACATATGACTTGTCAGCAGAACCCACACATTCCTCAGGATGCAATCACAGACCTCAGCCAATGCAAGGCACATGTCTGAAAAGAAGCTTGGGGCCGTTCTCTGAGAACCACATGCAGCTCAGGAGATTGCATGGGCATTTCAAAGCCTTTCTGTTATCACAATTAACCCAGTTGGTGATAAAGCCAGGCATAGAGCACGTTCATAACCTTGAGATTTCTAAGACAGGATACAGAAGCAACTAAAACAGTGGGCTTTACCAAAATCAAAACTACTGCTCATCCAGAAATACTAGAGCTGGGCACACAGACACATCTGTGGTCTCGGCAACTCAGGAGGCTCACTTGAGCTCCACAGTTTGGAGGCCAGTCTGGGCAGCATATGAGACCAGTCTCAAGTAAAATCACAAAGCACACCCATGAAGAAGAGTGGAAAACCCCAGAGCAGAAACACTGGCAAAAAGCATCCACTTCCACTGTATGAAGGACTCCTCAACTCGATGAGGAAAACAAATCCTTCCCAGTAAAAACCAGGAGACAACCTCCACTTCAGACATGCGACAGCACATGGAGAAAACCTTGACACTGTCTATCTCCAAGGAGAGTCTAAGGAAAATTTACCACACTGTCCAGGACCATTGGGAAAGTGGAAGATTGTGCCCCTCCCCGGCACCTTAAACTGAGGTTTTCTTAAACTGAAGCCCTATGACAATAATCACCAAATGACAGCCCCAAACTGCAAAGAATCCAATGTCTAAAATGGGGGTTCATGCTTACAAGGGAGTATTATGTAACAACAAAAAGGAAAGTCGGCTGACAAAAAAGCATGGATGCATCAAAGACAGCCTCACTCTATCCACGGGGCCCTCTGGGGAAATGGTACTGCCTGGGAATGCAGAGCTGGTAGCATCAGGCAAGACAAGGAAGGATGGGGGCTCTTTGCTGGAATGATAGAGATGTCTGTGCCTTCCACAAACACACATCTACAACGGTGTGCACTCTGTACAGAAGTTGCTGTCCAGACACCAAGTGGCCTTTCCTGAAGTGAGCCAACACATGGGCTAGAAGTCAGCAGAGGTAAGAAAAAGAAACAGGTGCACAAAGCTTGGAAGTGTGTTAATAAATGTCAACAAGAAAAGAATTCAAGTGGGAAGTACAAAGATCCAAAGTGGTAAAGACCCTGCTGAACAGTGGATGGAGAACATGCCTGGGAATGGGTAAGGACTCTGGAATCCCATCAGGATGGCAGGGCAGGACACTGTCCCCAGCAGCGTGGTGTACCAGGCTGTTGAGGCAAGGTGAACTTGGTAACACGGCTTGGAGAGCACTGAGTATCAGGAGTTGGATCTTCCCTCCCTCCAGCCCCAGGATGCCTAGCACCCAGCTTCCCCGAGGACAGAGAGCTGTCTCATCACCTCCCAGGGAAGGAAGGAGAACTGAAACTCAACCAATGCCAAAGTGAGGGGGGTGGAGTCCACCCCCAGCCCACCATCCACACACTCCAGGCCAACTCTGAAGGACACATGCAATTGAAAAGGGGCATTTCGACAGTTTTAGGTGGGAAAAGATTACAATCCCCTGTAGAAACTGCTGAGACTCAAGTAGCGGAAAAACGAGAAAGAAAAATTGGCTAAAGACATGAATAGGAATTTCACTAACAAGGAAGTACAAGTGGTCTAGATTCATAATCAGAGAAATTCAAACTAAAACCACAACACTGTTTCACACCCACCAGCTTGGCAAGAATGCAAGGCAGTGAGGATTCTCACCCTGATGCTGGGGGCCAGAGCTGGCACAACTGCTTTAGGAAGCAACTGAATAGTAACACTGAGTGAACACACACCCACACCTCTAAATCCTCCTACTTGGCAAAACACGTTCAAGGCAGTCCTGCCTGCCACAGGGACAGGCATGCACACAGGAGAGAGGTAAGAGAACCTCCTCTGCAATGGCAATGGCAGATTTGTAATTGGGCAAGAACCTGACAACATCCCTTAACAGACGCCCGGGTGTCATCATTCCAAGGGAATACTACACAGCAGTGACGCATCAAAGGCCACCAGCACAGATGCAGCTCACATAAAGACTTGACCAAAACCAGGGCGAACAGTGGAAAGAACTCAGAGAACACCATCATGATCCTGTTTGCAGACAGTGCCCAGAAGAGCAGCAGTGCACGCAGGTGGTGTGAGGGTATGTGCACAGGAGGTACATACATCAGCAGAGCAGAGAAGGACACAGGACTGAGAACAGGCAGCACTGTACTGAGACTACATGCTTTCACACAAACATCTGGTCCACATGACCCTCATCACTCCAGAGAAAGGCTCTCACCTCTGTCCAGGACAAATCCCAGAGCACCCCAGCATCTGCAGCTCCTGATCCCAGATGCCTCATCCTTCCCTGACCCTGCTTTCTTCTAAAGAAAGAGGGTATTCTAGGTGCTGCAAGAACAGAGACCAGAGCAGGCATGATGGAGCATGCCTATAATCCCTGTACGGCAGAAGACAGAGGCAGAAGGATGGAGAGTTCAAGGCTACCCTGGGCTATAAAACAAATTCAAGGCCATCCATGACTCAAAGCAAAACCCTGTCGCAAAAAAACAGTCCACCTGGCCAGGTGCTGGTGGTGCACGCCTTTAATCCCAGCGCTGAGAGGCAGAGGCAGTGGGATCCTCTGTGAGTTCAAGGCCTGCCTGGTCTACAAAAGGGAGTTCCAGGACAGCCAGGACTACACAGAGAAACCCTGTCTCGAAAAATAACAATAACAACAAAAGTCCACCTTTAGAGGAAAAATGAAATGACCTCTGTCTTAGGTGAGTGTGGGGCATACACCTGTAACTGTAGTTCTAACTATAAAATAAGCTCAGGTGTCGGGGGTGGGTCACAAGAGCCTAGGATTCAAGAGCAGCCTCAGCAACATAATGAGATTCAGTGTCAAAAAAAGGAAGAAAGAACAGGGGAAGAGGAGGGAATGAGAGAGAGAGACCCCCTTGGCTCTCATTTAAGGGACTCAGGGGCTGCTAAAAGAAGACAAGGGCCAGTGTGAAGTGGGATGCTCAGGGCAATGATTTAAAGAGACAGAAATAGAGTGGGAGGGTCCAACATTCCCCTTCTCCGGTTTTGGTGACTTGGGAGATGCTCCCAGTGAGACAAATGCTGACTGACCCTCAGGTCTTGGTCCTCCAGATGCCACACAGGTCTAGGAATTGTGTTCAGTATCCATCCTTCCTTTCCCAAAGGTACAGCCTAGACCCAAAAGGGAAAAGCCACTGTCCAGTGCCCTCTGTACCCTAACACCACACTCAGAGGCCTGCTGAAAAAGCAGAGTGGGAGCCACAGGCCAACCTGCAGTGAAGAACCTCCCGCTCCCTAGCATCTCTCTACTCAAGCTCACCTCCCGCCCCCGCCCCGGGGCACACTGTCCAGGTTCTGTACCTGGAAGGCTCTTTGGTGATAAGCCTACTTTCCCTGTCTCCCCAGAGGGGAAGCCTGCGGCGCCTTCAGCCTAGTGTCTACAGTTCCTCTTTTCCTTCACAAACTGAGGCTCCTGAGTAGGATCCAAGTCAAGAAATCCCAAAACTTTCAAGCTGGGCAGAAGAATGGGAAGCTGTAGGTCCACATAAAGATAGGTGTTCACAGAGTCCGCCCGGTGGGTAAATCTTGTCTAGCCCTTTCCATGGAGCGAGGGAGTGGGAGGGCGCCTACCCAGGGGAGGAAGGCCAAGCTTCTGCAGCCGTGAGTAGAGCGGACTCCGGTGCTCTCTCCACAGCTCCCGGCACAAGGCCGACAGGTGAAGAGAGAGCAGACCCGACCCGCAGGGCACAGGAGAGGCAACAGTGGCCGTGTCCTGCGAGCCTCAGGCCCAGGCCTCTGGGGTGTGACAGTGCCGCTGCACGCGGGAGGAGAGCGGTGGCACCAGCCGAGAGCTCGACCGCCCGAGGTGCCTGAGGTCCGCTGCGCGCAGCCCCGCCGGGGACGCAGGTGTCAAGGTGCAGGCAGAGCACTGGCCCCGCGAGCCACAGGCCCACCGCCCCGCCCCGGCCCTCGCCTGGCTCTCGCCCGCGCGCGCTCCGGGGCGAGGGGTCCCGGCCCGCGGGCAGGTGCGCGCGGACAAAGCGCAGCGCGGGGGCGTACCTGGGCACGCAGCTGGGGCTGGAGCCGTCCACCTCCCAGGTGGCGAACAGGTTCATGGGCACCGGGGTGTTGAGCGCTCCGGGCGCGCCGGGCAGGCCGAGGCGGCCCCGCTCGGCCATGGCGCCGGCCCCGCCGTCCCTCGGCGGCCTGGGGCTGCGCCGGGCCGCGGGAGCGCGGCGGGCGGGCGGGCCGGGCGCGCGGAGGGCGGCGGCGCGGTCACATGGCGCCGGCGGCCGGGCGGGAGTCGGGCAGGCCCGCGGGCGGTGTCCGGGCTGTGCCCGCGCCCCGCCCCCTGCCGCTCCGCGCTGCCTATTGGCCGGCAGGGCAGGGCTCGCGCGGCACACCCAATCACTGCCTACCGGAAGTGAGGCGCGCGCCTCAGGGCGTCTCCGGCGCCCCGCCGCGGGAGCGAGCGAGCGCGCGCGCCTGCGCACAGGCTCAGCCCTCCCAGGCAGGGACCCAGGCAAGCGATGCCATGGCTACCCGAGTGGCCAGGTCAGCGAGCCCTCACGCTCCCTGCCGCGGGCCGTGGGCCTGAGCACATGCTCATGTACCCCGGTGCCTCCTGTCCCCTGCCATCCTGTGCGTTCCCGCATCGGACCCCAAGGCCTCCGGGCTCCTCTCGTACTCTGTAGGCCCCACCCACTCTTATCCCTTGAGGAGTTTCAGCCACCATCTGTCCTCCCTAGCTGCCCCATGCAGCAACCTCCTCCCATCCCAGCCTCCTACATTCAGCAATGCTGTACTTATTTATTTACTTATAAGTTTTCCTCAAAACCATCGTAACAAATATTTGGTACAGGGTGCCTTCTGCCTTGTTCACAGTGAACTGCTAACTCGGGCCGATAGGAGGTGGCGGGGGTGGGGTGGGGTGGGGGTGGGAGGGGGGGTAGGGGACTCCAGGCATGGCCTTGGGAAGGCCGGCTAGGTTCTGGGGCTCAGGGAGAGGCTCTGTCCCTCCTCTCTCCTTTTGGCTGTCTTTGGTCAAAGTCAACAAATTTAGGAAAAAGCTTTTCTGGCGTGTCTTGTTTCTTTGTATCCACCGCTTTACACAATTGCCTTTCTCCCTCTGGGTCCCATGCCCTATTATCTACAAGTAATTTTATTGAAACAATTCTAACCCAAGCCAATTTGACCTGGCTGTCCCTTCTTGCCTTTCAGTTTTACCCCCCAGCAGCTCTGCTTTCTGCTTTTCTTCCCTGGAAGGCCCTGTGGGGGTGGTCCTTCCTCTGCTGTGACACCCCACCCCCTGCCGACAACATTTGGTGCTCCTCTGCCAGAGGCAGCCTCCTGCTGTAACTCCTCCAGGATGGGAGCTGCAAACAGCTGCAACTGCTTAAAGCCAGAGTCCCACTTTGAAGAGAACAAGGGGACCTGTGTTTTCCTCATGTTCCCCACTCATTGGGGTAGTAAAACAAAGTCCAGAGGATCTGTCAGTCTGTGGCCAGCTGAGATGAATATTGTCTGACATTGCAGCCCTATTGGGCCAGTAGTGAGGCTTGTACCTAGGAAACCGGAGGCCGTGTTCACTGAGCTTCAGCAGCCTTGGTGGACAGGCTGCCTTTGATTGGAAGCAAAGGACAAGCATCCACTGACCTCAGCAATTGGCATACAGTGCTGGGCACAGACCAAGAGTGCATTTGCAGGCAGAAGAATGGGCTGCCTGATGAGTTGTGTCTGTGTGCACCAGGCAGGCATTGCAGCCAGGGTCAAGGGAGGAAATGAGGGTGACCACGCTGTGCACACTGGGGCTTGGCACCAGTGGCCTCGGTTGAGCTGTGCCATCTTGTACTAGACACCATTGTAGCTTCTCAACGAATACATCTGCCCATTCTCATTTTAAAGGGGAGGAAAGTGAGATACATGCGCTTCTGCACTTCCTAGTGGGGAGCATCAGATGTGAGTGTGGTGGTGCTGGTGGTGGCTGTCTGTTAAGGTCATGGGAACGTGTTAGTGATAACCAGTGTGTTTTCCGAGTGAGTAGATGGCAGTTTGAATCTGTTTCACCAAACCTGTTGTTTGCAGTTTTGGCCTCTGTATTCCAAAGTAAAAATGTGTCCATCCTCCTTTTGTAAACTGTAGGTCCCAAGACAAGTTCCTTGAAAGCTGGAAGATGCCTCTTCCTGCAAACTAGGTATGATATTACTCCCACCCTTCCACATTTGGAGCATTTTTCCTTTAAAATGGAAACTTAGTTCAGGATGAACTCCTGTGGACAACTGAGATGGCTGGTCATGGCCCGAGAGAGGGTCCTTCAGAGCCCTACCGTCTCAAATCAGCACACATAACCCACTGTTAAGGCCAGACATGTTGCCTGCTCCCAAACTTTGTTTGTTGGTAGTGAATTAAATTCTTGGGTTCCTAAAAGGACCATGAGTAGTGACGGGAGGTAGAGGTTTAGCCAGCTTCCTACAGGCCCACAGATTGTGACTGGGTTTCCCTCAGCCTGTACATTGGGGATCACACCCTCCTAGCTGGTGCTCTGGACCATGGATTCCTTGGAAACTACTGGTCTGTTTAGCTTGGGTTAAAATGATGTAAACCTGGCATGAGAATGTGATACCACATGAGGAAATTGAAGGCAAGGCATGCTAAAGAAGTTCCCTCAGAGACCGGGGACCTTGGGGTGTGTCCAAGGCACAGGAACCACAGGGACTCCAGGCCTCTGTCCATGCCGGGGGAGTGCACCAGGCTCATGTCCATGTATTTAGTGAGTGACCGCTGGTGGGCTCTGAGCCTTCTGCTGCCTTCTGGTCCAGCCTTCTTTACACTGTTAACTCTGCGCTCTCGTCCATCAGGTGAGTTGCCAGAGGAGCTTGTGTTTCTGTGACAACTTAGTTCATATTCTGCATCCCTACATGGACAAGTCCTGTCAGCCTTGTTGTGTCAGGGACAGGGCTGCAGACTCGACCAAGCTACTATCAAGGAGGCAGGGACAGAAACTTCACACACAGAAGTCACCCTGGTCATGTGGAGTGTGGGTCACACAGGCCTCCTTAGGGGAAAGGAATGATCTGTCTGGGAACCTAGGTAGCCTTCAGAAGCCAAGTGGGTGTAAGGAGAGGCTGTGGGCGGGAAGGCTCATGGCAGAGCACCAGACACTGGTCATTTTGAGCTGAACAATGTTGCAGATGTGGTCCATGGAAGTGGAACAGGACCATAGATATTATCGAGGAAACTGAGATGCTCGTGTAGTGTACCTAGTCTCACTAATAAAAGAATGAAAAGGCTGGAGAGATGGCTCAGCGGTTAAGAGCACTGGCCACTCTTCCAGAGGACCTGGCTTCAATTCCCAGCACCCACATGGGAGCTCACAACTGTCTGTAACTCCAGTTCCAGGGGATCTGACACCCTCATACAGGCATGCACACAGGCAAAATACCAATGTACATAAAAATAAATAAATCTTTAAAAAATAAAAGAATTAAACTCAAAACAAGTTTATTAGCATTTAAAAGAAGACATAGTACAGGTTAGGTTAAAAATCCTGACAGCTGCCAGAAAGAGGTGAGAAAAAAAGCATGCCTTCTTAGTTAGACATGGAATAGAAACAGCTAACTAAGAAAGGAACAATGGAGGCTGGAAAAGCACTTGCTGCTCTTGCAGAGGACAGGAGTTCAATTCCCAACATCCATGTCCAGCTCCATGGAGAACCAACACCATCTATTTGCATCTGCACACCCACACAAAATAAAACTAATCTTAAAAAGAACTTCCAAGAATGGAAATAAACTAATGAGCAAAAATCTGGCCACTCACTGGATGGCCTTTTATAAGCACCCACCTCTGCTACTGGTTGTATTTCACGAATTTGTCTCCAACATACTTTATTCTTTAGATGATGCCAGGTAAGGAAAGGTTTCCAGTCTTCCCCTGTGGCTCCTTTCATGTTTTTGTTGTTGTTGTTTGTTTGTTTGTTTGTTTTTGAGACAGGGTTTCTCTATGTAGCCCTGGCTGTTCTGAACTCTATGTAGAGCAGGCTTGGCCTTGAACTCACAGAGATCTGCCTGCCTCTGCCTCTTCAATGCTGGGATTAAAGGCCTGTGCTGCCATGCCTAGCCCATCTGTTAATTTTTTTAAAGATTTATTTATCACATATATTGTAACATATAGAGTGTTCTGCATGCACATATGCCTGCATGCCAGAAGAGGGCACCAAATCTCATTATAGATGGTTGTGAACCACCACCTTGTGGTGGCTGGGAATTGAACTCAGAACCTCTGGAAGAGCAGGCAGCACTCTTACTTAACCCCTGAGCCATCACTCCATCCCCTCCATCTGTTAATTTTGATGTAGCTTTTTAGTCCCTATTCTCCTACCAAATGATGGTGTTGGTTGGAACAAGAGCTGCTTGTAGTTGGAGGATTGTCCTTGGGAAACCACCAAGAGGTTTGAAGTTTACAGGCACCTGCTGTATCTCCATTTCCTGATTTACTTTATGTCTGACCTAGTTAGGCAAGAACCTGAGCTTTATGCATCAATATGGTCTGTGGGGTCTTCCATGTTGATGCCCTGCTAGGTGGCTGCAGGGAGCAGGACATAAACCACCAATGCTGACTGCAGTCAGAACTACGACAGGGGGCTGCCACTGGAGGTGTCTCCAAGACCTCACCGGGCCTCCCTCAGAGTTGGAAGGTTCAGAAAGGCTCTCATTGACTCATTCAACTAAGTTATTACGAAGCCGGTGTCAAGTCATAGAGATGCAAGAATGGACTGCTTGCCCTGGAGGAGTGGACATCCTTCAGGAGCTAGGACAGTTCTGACATTAAAAGGGTACACTCTCAGATACTGTGTCGGAAGCAGCAGAGTGGGAGGTCATGGATCAGTTTTGAGTGAGGTCTGAGGACTGGGTGGAATTGCCACAGGGAAGGGCAGTACCAGCCAGGCTCTGGAAGATCTAGTGTCCCTGAAGATTTAGATCAGATCTCCCTTTGCCCTAGCAGCTCTTAAGCTACAACATTAGCCCAAAGTAGCTGCAGTCCAGGAGCACATAAGTTCCCAGCCTGGTCACCTTTGGATTGCTGAAGGGCCCAGGTGAGACAGCTCAAAATGAAAAGGCCAGCAGTGCCCCATGGGGGTGGTGCACACCTTTAATCCCAGCACTCAGGAGGCAAAGGCAGGCAAATTGAGGCCAGCCTGGTCTACAGAGCAAGTTCCA